AATTTGATTTTTGGTTGTCTCTGGTGACCTGACCTTCGACCAGTTCGACCTAACCTTAACAATGACCTAAGCAGTTTTATAATAGTTTTTGACGCTCTTTCGAACGCCGCCTACTGCGTGTCTCGACGTGGCCCACAAGCTGAGTTAGAAGTGGGTGTTCAAACACCCCCAGCAGGTTCAATTAAAAAACGCATACGCTGGGGGCGGTACCGCACTGCTAGGCGGGGGCGGCATCGCAATAATGGGCGGCACTGCGCCTAAGGGGTACCACTTGCATTGAGGAGTGGCATTGTACGGTGAAGGGGCGGCGTCGCAAATTGAGGGGCGGTATCGCAACGAGGGGTGGCACTAACGAGGCTGCCTTATAAGAAACGCTCGGCACATCCTAGCCCAGCTCGGTGCCGCCTGGCTGCTGCATCTTGAAAAAGGCTCTTGGTGTCGATGAGAAAGCCCCATTGTCAAATAATTACCTAGCGTCAGTGGTTTCAGGAGAGGGGGGGGGGGGCGCTACCGATCTTGAATGGGGCGGGGCGCCATTGATTTCGGATGGTCCGACTGGGATTTTCAGAGGGGTGCCAGTGGTTTCATAGGGTCGCCATTGATCTAGGATGGGCCGACTGAAGTCCCGGTTCAGGTGGGCGCCAGTGGCTCTTGAGGGGCGCCAGCGATCTCTGATTGATGGGGCGACTGTGATCTTTAGACTGTGCTGAATGCACCATTGGGCATGGATGGGGCCACTGTTGCCTTCAGCAGGGCGCCGCACGCTCTGGAGGGGCGCTTTGAGCTTGGGTGGGGCGACTGTAGTGTCAAGGGGAGTTGTCTCGGATGGGGCGAATATGATTTTCAGAGGGGCGCCGGGTAGTCTAAGAAGGGTGCCATTGGTTTCAGAGGGTCGCCATCGATCTTAACCCTAGAACGCCTAGGGGGGGGGGGTTGTATCAACCCTCCCCCCTGAGGTTTTTTCGAAGTGCACGCTAAACGGCTTGTCGTAGCGGGCTGAAATTTTCAATACCCTCTGGGGCAACCTTTGCGCATCTTTTGCCGAAAAAAAATTGATCGGGTCATGTCAGGTCACGGAGTTATGACGTCATAAGAGGTACAGCCTCCGGCCGGATTTTCACAAACTGAGTGCCAACGCCCGAGGTTTCCTGCCGGTGGTACGAACATCGGTTGATGGATCGTGATGAAACTTTCCATGCATGTTAGGGCAAGTATTGGCTATCATATGGTATAAGAAATTTGACCGTGTCAGGTCAGGTCACGGAGCTATGACGTCACAAGAGGAACAGCGTCCGGTACTATTTTTGAAAAGCGCCCGAACCACTATTTTGCTAATTCTTGTCACCTCAATGGGAATATGCAGCAATATTAGCTTCTATAGGGAGCAAATGGACCTCCCAAATCCAAAAATGCAATCAGATTTCAAAAATTTAAATTTTATTTTTTTGAATTTCTGCCGCCGACTGTGACCTTGCCGACTTCCGGCGCTCCCAACGCGCCATTTTTAGAGCTAGGGAAACGAAATACATACCAAACGATAGAGAATTGATCAAGGAACACGATAAGGAAGGTTTCAAGTCGATATCTCCCACCGTTTTGCCGCAATCGCCGCCGAAAGTTGAAAAAAGTCTATTTTTCGGAAAATTTGACCTTTGACCGGTCAAAAGTAGGCCAAATGTTGACCTAGGACCAAAAAATATACCACCAATCGCGAGATCTCGTTGAGAGCAATCCGTTGGTTTTTTCCGCTAAGCTCTACGACCTTCCGTTTCGAAACGCCAGGGGGGGTTCGTAACAACCCCCCCCCTGGTCGTTCGTGTTATGAGAAATGGCCTGGTCGTGCGAGGGTTAAGATGAGGCAGCTGTAATCTCCGTTTAGATGGGCGCCAGTGACTTTTGAGGGGCGCCAACGGCATATTTACGTCTGGACAACGAGTTGCGTTGGAGAGGCCGGAAATAGTGGCGATTTCAGGACCGCAAGAATGGACCGTCATTGGAATGATTCTTTTTGAAACCGTGCACTGTTTTCGGCTGGAATTTAATAGTTACCACAAAATATTTTCTAATTACGTTTCCACCAAGAATGAATGCCATCAGGGCTAAATTTTTACTACTTTTGCATTTGTCAAGAAGCATATAGTGCTGTTATATTGCAGTTTTTGCGCGTTTGTTACAAAATATGAAGCGAATAAGCGTCAGTGTTATTCATCAGTATGCTAATTGCTCTTGTCCATCCACTAGAAGTTATTAAATATTTTGCTTTGTGTATTCCAAAAGGAGTGGGAACTATATTATTTATGCCTTCATGTCAGAATTGAAGGTGGATCATTAAATTTTCAAGGCAGTTTACAAACAAGCATTTGGTCTTTCTCGTATATAAGCAGTGGCTAAGAAGAAAATGTTGATCAATCCTGAAGTTCAGTCATCGTACCTCAACTTGGCAGCAAGATCCCCAAGGACAGAGGTTATATTGTATACCTGTCCTGTAAATCAAAGTATTTTTTGTGCCTGCAAAGGCTTAAGTTATTTGTGGTGTGTTCGGAGTGAGGCTTTATGGCCGTTTTTGTTGTATGTTTATGTGGAGATTGAATATAACTGTGACCCTTTGCTTGTTTGTATACTTACTATGATCAAACAGGGAACAGCACATTCACATAACATACTCACCTAGCACCTAACTCATAGCTGTACCCTGCAGGATCTGTACTTGTTCATGTCTCGAGCATTAACAAAGCACTAAAGTAGCTTAATAATCATTTCCCACATTTTCTGAGCAGCTAACATGACATACAGCAGTGCAGAGCAGCTTCAAGCACATTTACATAACATACTCACCTAGCACTTAACTCATAGCTGTACCCTGCAGGATCTGTACTTGTTCATGTCTCGAGCATTAACAAAGCACTAAAGTAGCTTAGTAATCATTTCCCACATTTTCTGAGCATCTAACATGACATACAGCAGTGCACAGAGCAGCTTCAGAGAAGAAACACTTTAAATGCACAGACTCACACCAGCCAGCTAATGAGCCAGTTCCTCAGTTGACTGTTTCCCTGGATGCAGCTTGGCAAGGTGAGCTAACTATAGGCAAGTTGAAGATTAGCAGGTAAGATTGAGTTAGGGTGAGTACCTACCTATAACTGGGTGCTTCTGCTATGTAGGTCTTGGGTAAGGCTACAAATATGTGTGATGATTGAGGTTAGGTCAGCTGTCAGGTTATTCAGGTATGCTCATTGCTCAGGTCACATTTTTATGGACACTTGGCAAATTAAAAAAACTAGCATAACCTAATCTAAGCTAACCCGACTAAACCTACACAACTGCTGACTAAAGGAACTAAGCACCTACCTACTTGTGCCTACATATCATACCATGTCAAAACTCAAAGTAGAGTTCCTTGGTGGAAGATTACCCTCAGTATTTTTTATCCCAGCCCTGTGAAGAAAACTAATACTTCTAAGCTCTGAGTCACTGCTGGCCATCCACAGGAAGAAACGCTGAGACTGAGAGCTTTGCCATTGTATATTGGACCAGCAATCATGAATCACTATCATGAATGACTATGAACACATCATATGATCATTGATCACATCGTTGCATGGATTGTCACATTGACAATTTTATAACAATCCTTTTTTCAAGAAATACAGTAATGATTAACATCAAAATCAACATAAAGTGGATTTGGTGATCCAAGCTTTCTCCTCCAGTTGCAGTAGCAATGGAATGATCGCATGTTTCATTTGCCAGGTACACTGAGTACCTGATGCCCATTACAATCTGCACAGCATCTAAGCATAGTAAAGCTGCCAAAGTCCATTCATTCTAGATTTTGAACTTGATAGCACTAATTTATCTTGCTGTTGTAAGTTATCATTCAATATTCATACCAATACATCAATATGCGCTCATCAGATCAGTCAACATTTTCTGGCATGATCCTGCTCAGCGTGCTCTTCAGTATTGCTCCAAGATCTGCAATATTATAGCTTGTTTTCCGCCAATAAGCTCTTTTAATTTTACTTTTTTTTTTGCTGATATATGAGCCCGATCAACTTGCGTTTATTAACCAAAATTTAATAACTTCAAGTTCAGCTTGATATTGATATTGCTCAGGACTTCTGTCAGCCTCCTGGATACTTCGGATTGTTTTCAGTCACATGCTTCTTAAATATGATATAAGTCAATCTTAATGGATCCAAAACATACAACAAAACGACGTACAAGAGTACGGAAACCACCAGATAAACTCAAAAAGCGCCTTGGAACAGAGCCATGCGGTCCTCCATTTGTTTGTTTACAATGATTGTAGTGCTGATGTATTTTTAGGACTCTGAAGGTCGGCTTATAAAAAAATGAAACGTTTTACAATAGTTGTAAGGCAAGTAATATTTATCTGAAAGAACTAAAATATTCAAAAGCCAAACACTATGAAATACATGAATCGGAACGAAAAAGTAAAGCAAAAATCCAGCCTAATCACCGGCTCCTAAAACTGCAACAAAATCAGCACTTTTCCCCGCAACTCGTTGTCCAGACGTAAATATGCGCGCCAACGACCTCGGATGAGGACGACTGTGATCTTCAGAAGCGTGCCGGACGCTCTGGAGGGGCGCCGTTGGGCTTTAATGGCGACTTTAGTCTCAATCGGAACAACTTCAGCCTCAAGGGGGGGGGGGGGGGGGCGCTAATGGCTCTTGAGGGTGCTATTGATCTCGGATAGGGCGACTGTGATCTTAAGGAGAATACGGGTGCCTTACAAGGGCGGATCTAGACCAAAGTTTTGGGGGGGGGTCACAGCTTACCAGACATGCCGGACCTGGTCAATGAGTGACTTATAACGTGGGGGGGGGGGGGGTAGGAGAAGAACGTGGGCGACTAAAGCAAATATCGCCTAAGTCGTTCAAAGATGTCTTCATCGTTGGAATTCGTTGATGTGACATTTTGAAATTTTCTGAATTTTGCAAAGCTTTTTTTCGCAACTTCGTTTATTTTCGGCGTCGAAAATGAACAACGGCAGAAACAAACGTTTCACCAAAGCAGCCCGGCCGCCGGCGGTATATCACGGTGTTCCTACCATGTACAAAGCACGTCCAAGCATCAATAGCATACGCGTCAGGCCTGAGTCGACGGATTTCCGGGCAGCTGGCTACACGAATACGGGAAGACATGTCCCACAGAGCTGAGGAAACCACATGGAGTCACCGGCTACAATAGCATAGCAGAGTTTAATCTTGCCAGAAAAGATTGTTGCGGTTACGGATATCAGGTGACATTGTCCACGACAGTCATAATCACAACCCTGAGGCCTGACTTGGCACCTTAGCCGCCAACATTGCATACTCTTCGATGGGAACCACTCATGCAAAGCCGACATCTTCGATCAACGAGCGTCACGGTATGTACATAGTATAGTAGGCGGCGCTAGACGCTAGTTCACTCGCATTCAGGCCAGTTGTCTTCATCAGTCACGCATGCATACAACTTCATGTACCCGACCTGACTCCACAACCACACCATAGCTAATCAAAGAAATCACTTAACTCTAACGCAAGCAATCTTTCAGAACTCCTGTGAATTGCTTAGCTCAAAATCCACTCCCCCTACCCGCACTGAATAACGCCAAAAGCGAGTAGCGACATCTATGTACATCAGTGCCAAAGGTCCGCCAGCGCCACCTAGCGTCCCCACACCGGCGCGGCTAAACTGCGAGTATCGCCGCCGCGGCCGGCCGGGCGCCCTGCTCGGGCCCAGCAGATCCGCTTCAATGCGGGGCGGGGAAGGTCTCTCGGCCGAGGAGCCGAGTGCTGATACTGCCATCCCCGGCTCGGCCCGCTCTGCCCATCGGCTGATCTGGTCGATGTAGTGTTTGGGCTGCTGCTTCCGTTGCCCGAAGGAGCCTCTAGGTTCACCAACCGCATGGGCGTCAGCTGCTCCTTAGCGCGCTCCAGCTCGATCATGTCCTTGGTCCCGGTCTTGGGAATCAGTTTGCGCAAAACAACGTCACACAACTCGTAGCTGGTCCGGGTGAGTAAAGGAGAAGGCACAGAACAGGCCGCAGCTGGCACGTCGTTAAACGCCCGATGCTGACCATCGACTGGTGTCTATGGCCGTATCAGGCCACCCTTTCTCCGTCTGATCACGCAGATAGGCGCGCAGGCGAGTCTGGGGGCGTTTGCAAACGAGTCTGAGTTTACATCCATAAGCATTGAGCTCCCAGGCTATGGAAGGGCGGAGAGATGGAAACACACATCTTTTTTTTTTTGGTGGGGGGGGGGGAGGGGGTGAAGCATTACCCTGTATCCTCGGAGAACGTCTCCGGTCCGATTTACTGATTTTTTTTCAGGCTGAAAATATGATACCGAATGATTTTTCCGGTCAAAGTCATGAGGGTCATAATCCAAAATTATATCTTGCAGTCGCTTTGGGTGTCAGAGGGCAAATTATTCAATAGTCATGAACATGGGAGTGGAAAATTGCCTGTCAGGACTTAGGCGAGATTGAGAAGCAAAACGGAGTAAAAACAAATTGATAGAATTTACATCCTATCACACCGATGTGGTAGGATGTACCTTGTAATGTTAATATGTAGCAATATGTTAAAGGCCATGCGCGCAGACACTCGTATGTTTGGTTTGTTAACCCGCGCGGGGCTGGGGTCTCCAGCCGAACGCGCGGGGCTGGGGGGGGGGGTAAATTTTACCCCCCCTGTTATCTCCCGAACTAATGGTCCGATTTGGAAAATTCAAACGCCAATCGAAAGCTCTCATCACGAACTACTAAAAACATGTACTTAATTTAAAGTTTGAGGTCAAGGTCAAGGTCAGGTCAAGGGTACAAATTGCAAGTTTCTACAGTATCGGCCTTGCACCGTAGTTGCCGAAGAATGGAGTCATGGACTGAGACTGATCGCCCAAAACGTGTTCTTAGGCTACCAAGACAATATTCGTTGCATACAATATCATTCAGAGGTCAAGGTCAAGGTCAGGTCAGGTCAGGTCAGGTCACCAAAAAACAAAATATAGAAAAGGGCATGTGCGACACATGTTTTATGGGTCATTTTACTCATAGAATTCAATAGGCACACTCAATAAGTGATATGGACCACCTCTGGATGAATTTCAGGTCGAGGTCAGGTCAAGGTCAGGTCAAGTGAGGTCAAATTTTGAAGTTGTTTGTTAAGGCCTAAAAAGGTGTCTATCTGATGCAGTTTTTCACGGCGAATCGAATGGTGCTATTTTTGTTTCCGTATGAGGTCTAGAACTTCCAAAAAAGTCATTTTTCAAAAAATTTGTGTGTCATGACGTCATAAAATTTTGAATAACTCCTACATTTTTGAACCGATTCTTCTAAAATTTGGTATGTAGGTGCACATGGACCCCTTCTCTGACATATATTCCGGTTTTTTTCGATAGACTCAAAATTTTGGATTTTATAATGATTTTCCCAAAAAAGTCAGTTTTTTGAAAAAATTTAGGCCAAAATCCAAAATTTTCAAAAAACCGAGATAGCCATTTGATAGACAAAGTAAAATTACGTATAACCTTTTTTGTTACGTCTTGATTCCTTTAAAAATGAAGATGTTAGCGGCGTTTGAACTTTTGCCGTTTTTGAGGCGAAAATGGCGAACATGACGTCACTAAAACGTCAATTTCTCAAAAATTTTCCGACGGATTTCGCTCAAATTTTCAGGGAACGTGTCAAATTGATGTAAGAAAAGGTACTGAAAGTTTGGCGGCGCTGCGCGCCGCCGTTTTTGAGATATCGCAAAAATTCGCGAGGGGGGGTAAAATTTACCCCCCCCCCAGCCCCGCGCGGGTTAAGTAAAGTGGAAAATTGCTCTAGAAAATTTGATGAGAGTGTAAAATTATCTTCATTTGGATGTCGCTTGCCATCCAAATAGACAAATTTTACGACACTATGATCCCCTTGACTAACTATGCAAAAACATACGACTTATGGTTTGAAATATAAGCAGTAGAAGAAGCCAGGTATCGACCTCAAGGACATCTGAGATAACTATTAAGAACGATTTAAATAAATGGTCATTTACCCATGCTCACCAAACGTTCATTACAACAGTCGTTGTCGCATGTCGACAGAGTACACACTGAAATATGCAATACTTAGTAGGCCAGGATAGGCATACATAGGCAACGATGAAGTAGGATGAAAACTGATGAAGGCTAACCTGGAGAGGACGGTGGGTATTCAGATGAGGGCGTGAAGCTTTGCTCGGCGGGCGCCAGACCGTGCGAAGAAATCCACCACATCCGCAGATGCTGGCAGCAGATCACGGTGGGCCTGGCACATTATCAGCGCTTCCAAACGCTCCTCGCCCATCGTCGACCGGACTGCCGTCAGCGTGCGAGTCACCTTGCTGAATGTGCGCTCCGCCTCCGCCACAGACACGGGCAGGACCGCAAGGATCTGATGGGACAGAAACATGGTGGTGATAGGTCAGATACCGATTTCTTACAGGGACGGCACAGATTCAGGGTTTCCTATAAAAAATAAAGGCATAAAGGCGTGATCAATTGTTTTCCCTTGCCAGGATTAAGAAAGAATTGCACAACAATCTGACTACCTATTGGTTGTCAGCGTCTTGCAATGAAGGCTTCAACCGATAGATTTACGCGTCAACCATTATAGTATTTGATATACAATATTAACAACCATGCTTAGAAACCCACCCATGTTTAGCATAACTATGTATAATATGCGTAATAATGCATGTAAACTAAATCCTCGCACACTCCATTCACTCATAAAATGTTCATTACAGTGAAGATGAGAAATGACACGACAGAATCTAAGGCAAGGGGCGCGACTCCGGGTTATGATAGTTGATTAGGAAAGGTGTCTAAATTGGGATGAGTGCTGATAATATCAACCTGGAGAAGGCGGTGCATCGTTGGGAAGGTGATCAGGTCACAGTGGTCGAGCGCAGCCACCGCGGAATCTGGTAGAGTGCCCTGGGAGCGCCGCCACAGAGCCGACCAGACGAGGAACTCGGCTTTTGCATCGTCCTCAGGGCTCTCTGGCAGAACTGACCGGTAGCGCAGCCAGCCTGGGCGGACGTCCTCCCACTTCTGTTTGGTGACCTGCCGTGGGAGGATCCCGGAGAGTGAAAACACCTCCCTTCGGTATGCCTGGCGCTGTGCCTTCACTCCGGCCTGTCCAGCAGTGCCACCGAGTGGCCGGTCACTGCCGAATCTGTCGTCCAGATCCTGTTGCACGGCGTCGATGGCAGGCAGGAACAAATTTACACGGTAGTGTCCAGCCACGTCCAAGTCTTCGCCAGCATTGGCCCTGAAAGTCGAGCGGTGGGCTGAGATGCGCGGCTTCTCGATTGTTGTGTCCAGCTCACCTGCCATCTTCTGCGCTTCGGCAAACACCGACTCGAAAGCAGAATCGCAGCGCAGATCCGAGAGGGCGCTGATGGTGGCGCGCGCCAGGTCGAGTGCCTCGACCAGATCCGCACCCTGCTTCTGCAGTCGTGCGGACACTGGCCGCAGCAGACTGGACAGAGACTTCATTACCGCGATGGCCACCAGAAAATCCGACGCTGCCATCGCCTTCAGCAGCATGTCTGCCTTTGCGCTAGTGACAGCGTCTGTCCAGTCGGACATCAGGCGCAGGGCGTCCACAATCGCCGCAAACTGTTCACAGAAGCGGTTGACGGAAGTGTATCGCTCCACAAAGCGAGTCTCGCAGAGCTTTATCAGCCGCTGCTGGCTTTGACCGGTCCTCTTTTGTGCTTGCTTGAGCACCACCGCGCGCTTGGCACTGTCAGTGACAAAGACTACCACGGTCTCCATCGTCCCTTGCGCGTTCTTCACCGCCCGCACAGATCCCATCCTTGACGCAGCGAGGTTCAGACCGTGCATAGCACAGTGGACGTAGTGCGCAACAGGAGCCACTTTCTGCACATGAGCCGCGACGCCGACTTTCAGGCTTGACATTGCTGAGGCACCATCATAGCACTGCGCGATGAGATGTTTTTTGTCCAGGCGGAGACGATCCAAGGCGTTCAGGATGACTTTCGCCAGGTTTTCTCCCGACAATTTCACCTCTTTCTCGTCGTTTGCGGCGTTCAACTCTTCAAAGACATCCACCATGGCGATAGGATCTTCGCAAATTGCATGCTTTCCCTCCTTCTTATCGAGGTATCTCACGGCCACCACGAGCTGCTCCCGACGAGCGCGGTCTGTGGTCTCATCAACAATGAGAGCCCACAGCGGCGAGGCTCGCACCTTGGCGGACACTGCGTCCTGCAGGAGCCGCAGCAGGTCAGAGAGCAGTTCATTTTGTACCGTTTTGCTGGTGTACAGCGCGGCACTACTGGCTGACTTCAAATGCTCCTCCAGTGCCTTGTCCCCGCTCTGCAGGCGGAAGCGGAGCAGCATCCTGAAGTTCCCGTCATTGTTGTCAGGATACTGGCCGGTTGGGTCAATGCGCCCGTCGTCCCGATGGCCACGGAGAGGGATGTTCTGCAGCGCGGCAAACTTGATCGTATCTACAACACTGGCCAGGGCCGCTCGAGTGCGCTCTACTTCGCGACGGTTTGCAGAGGCCAGCACTTGCGATACAGACAAATCTTGGTTTTCTGAAGTGCGCAGGAAGTCAGCGGCGGCCGCCAGCGCACTCCTGTGGTAGTCGTGCCGACTGTGGCGGTTAAGCGCCCCGTCCGATCCAGTCAGATCAGAGAAGTTGCGTAGTGGCCGCACAACTAGGTTGCCGAGCCGCTGGTTGGCGGCGCCCGCCCTCCCGCCAGCCTCAGAGGTAGCGAACAAAGCACATGGCGCACACCACGCACCCCAGTTGTCTGCGTGTTGCGAGATCGCGAGCCATGGGAACGTGGAAAGGTGGGAGTCGTTCGCTCGCAGGATGCGCAGCTTCCCCGCACGCATGTGCTCTGATGTTGGAAAATCCGCCTTCGTGGCCGGCTTCCACCGCTGCCTAAGTGCGGTGGTGATGACTGCGGCTTGAAGCTGCTTCCCTTCTTGCTTAAGCTTGACAACATTGCCAAAGTCATCCGGATGCACGGAGAACTCCACGGGCCTTGATGGACGTCTATTCTCCGACGCTGCTGTTATCCCGGCCGTCGCCGCTGTCGTCCCGGCCGTCGCTGCTGTCGTTCCGGCCGTCGCCGCTGTCGTACCGGCCGTCGCCGCCGCTGTCGTCTCGGCCGTCGCCGCCGCTGTCGTCTCGGCCGTCGCCGCTGTCGTACCGGCCGTCGGCGCCGCTGTCGTACCGGCCGTCGGCGCCGCTGTCATCCCGGCCGTCGCCGCTGTCGTCTCGGCCGTCGCCGCTGTCGTCCCGGCCGTCGCCGCTGTCGTTCCGGCCGTCGACGCCGCTGTCGTCTCGGCCGTCGCCGCTGTCGTCTCGGCCGTCGCCGCCGCTGTCGTCTCGGCCGTCGCCGCCGCTGTCGTCTCGGCCGTCGCCGCTGTCGTTCCGGCCGTCGCCAACGCCGCTGTTGCCACGGTTGTTGCGGGCTGTTCTTGATGAGACACTGACAGGATGGATGCGCTGGAGGAACTGGATGGCGCAGGAGGCTCAGCGGATGCAGGATGTGCTGCGAAAGGACAGTGGATCTGGCTAGGATTAAAGCAGAAGAAATGCAGGACGACAAAACTAGGCCAAAAGAACAATATACACTAGGTAGCTAGGAAGTAGGAAGTCAAGTAAACAGCGATCCAAGTAACTGCCTCTCCGTCTAACCTGTAACAGTAATTTGAAGGATATTTGGGCCTCAGGCGGTCTCTACTACCGGCCCCATGCTGTATGGTCAGCAGCTATGTATCAAGATTCAAGCGCCGGATTGAGCGACTCACATCCATTCTTGCCGGGGGTGGGCAGATAAGCTGTCTTCCATCGCTCACATGGACAAAAATATGTGAAAGTTTGATGAGAATTTACAGTTTCTTAACTCTAGCCCCATATTCGTGTTTTACCGGCCGAAACCTTATAAGGGAGGGGGAAGGGGCGTTGGACCTCATACCGTTCGGCCTCTTCGCGAAAAAAGCGAGCGTGTTGCCCCTGACGAGGGAGCCCCTGGCACCTAATTCTAAGGTCCTAGGTCATTGGTTGACTTTCCAGGTCAGATAAATGACTCAAAAGTGGGAAAATCGGGACCTACTAGTCACTAGAACAACATTAAGGTGATGTTGTTTTCTTGTTTTCTTTTGGTACTGATCACGATTTTCATGTAAGTTTTGATCACTGATGATGTCTTCATGCATTTAGACCAGATTGGGCTGGGTCAGGTCAGGTCAGGTCAACCAGTACGCATCCTGGTGGCTATCCATTCATTGCACTGAAAATATGTAAAATAATGAAAATTGAAGCTGGAACAGTTTAACTTAGTTTTGCAAAAATCAGCTCGGTAGCCAGCAATGAGCAGAGCCACAGCCATATAAACCCACCTTTTTTCCACAGTCAAACCTGGATGCCAAATAAAACAAAGAAACAAACTAACAAACAGACAAACCAAATATGCAATGATGACACCTCTGGGAATTGTGGCTTGTGCTTACCTTCAGGATCAGGATTCAAGATTTTCATCCTTTTCGTAGGATGTTCAGGTGGGCTGTCTTTGTCTGGATCATGCTGGGACAGAACAACCAATGATCAGAGTCAGTAGGATTCCACGGTTGGAAAATATCATTCCAATGGTTTGGGGTAGGAACTGTGACTCAATATTATGTTTGGGAAATTTACATGGGTTTAACGTGGGAAAAGATGAGCCTCATAAAGTGACACAACCAACAACCTTTTACATTGAGGAATACATGCAGTTTCTAAGCAGATATTATTCTACAATTCATTATTAAATATACATTTATTGCAGCTTTCAAGATGGATAGGTATAAGGTAGGTGGGTACCAATCCACTCGACATTTTGTTGCATGATTTTCTAGCTCGCTATGATTTTCACAGATTTTTTTTGCATTCAGACTGCAATTGCATACCTTTTTCTTGAAGTACTTCCTGATATCAATCTTAGGCATCTTAGCACCTCCTCAGTCCTCGGTATGTATAAGGTCCAAGGACCAAGGATACTTCCGTGAATGAAGTAGGTAAAAGGTAACCAAGATCTGTGAAAAGAGTAGGATAATCATGTCATTGAAGAAAAAAGGTTTCAGTGTAAGCTTTACTTTTCTGTATACATAAAAGCTCATTTAAAACATGAAGGTAGTTCAGGCTTCCAGGAAATCGGTACCTAAGTGTAAGAAAGGCATTGGCAGGGTCAAAACTGTTCCTTTATGCTTTTCTATTTATGTCATACAAGGCTTAAGCTAGATATTTAGAAGGCATGAATACTGAGTATTATTGCCTAGAATTTAAGATATGAGATTAACTCAGAAATTAAAGCAGAATTGCAATTACTCCAAATTCAAATTGAATGAATTGTAAGCTGGAGCAGCTTCAAGGTAAAACAAGCCACGGATGTTTGAAAATAGTTAAGGGGGATAATATAATATGAAGGCAGCTTTAGCATGAATACAAATACACTAGTAGGAACCTTGGTTATTAGGTACTGCTATCCTGAGCACAATTTCTAATCCATTCAAAATCGATACAATAAAAACTAAGATTTGTCTAATCTAAGTTATACCTAATTCCATTTTCAATCACCATCGACGTCGTGAACTCGCGACTCGCAGTCTTTATAAATCTTGGTCTCGTGTGACCTTACCCACGACCTGGATTATTGATCTAAGACACTGAAACACACAAATCAGAATGATTTAATACCTGTAACTGGCTTCTCAAATCTCAACTCCGCAGCCCAACATAGGAAGCGGGGAGACAAAAGGCCATAAGATCAATTGTTTACGTTGTTGGGTGGCGCAGGAATCACGCGGTGGCGCGGTTTGCTTGAGACAAACGCACCGCGTGAAACGCTAAAACGCTGCAAAAAAAGCAAAAGTGGTGACGGCTAAATAAAAATAACACGGTCTACATCATGTAATATTACAGGTCATAAATTATTAATACCTGTCATACAATACAATAGACGCAAATCACTTTTAAGAATGTATAAAAAACGATTTTTATTGCAACAAACTCCAGATAAACCACGAGCATTAACTCATGAGCACTTGGTAGTGAAGTTCCAGTATGCTTAACTGCGCTCATAACACATTTGTGTATGTGGCTTTTGGGGGGGGTCAAATCACCCTTTCAGAGCTTTTGGGGGGGGTCATGACCCCGTGGACCCCCCCCAGGATCCGCCACTGGTGCCTTAGAGGGGCGCCAGTAGTTTCAGGGGGCGCCATCGATCTTGAATGGGGCGATTGGGGCAGCTGTGAACTTCAGAGGGGCGCCGGGTTCTCTAGAGGGGCGCCATCAACCTAACCCGCGAGTTGCTGGGGGGGGGGGCGTTAAAAGCCCCCACTTTTTTCGCCGGGCCATAGCATAAAAACGGCGCGCCGCAGGGGCGCCAAATTTTGGGTATCTGTAGGGAATTGATTGAAGTTTATTGTGACAAAGTTTTAGAAAAATCGGTTGGAAAATTTTTGAGATATCGAGGTTTTTGTGACGTCATGATTTTTGACTTTTCGACCAAAAACAGCATATGTTCAAAAAATCATATAAAATCACAGAATAGACATACAGACATGCCGTAAACGCCATTAGACTGCCAATACCATGATCAATCAAATGGCTATTTTCGATTATTGATTATCGTTCCGCATTTTCCATAATCTTGAACTGAATCTTGGCAATTTCTCGTGACTACTTCACGACCAAGATACATGCATTTCTTAAATTGAACTTTTTGAGCCAAACACGTACACTTATGATAAAATGAATGTCACCATCGTGTTCTACGCCCTAAATTACCTATAAAACATGTGTCACAGGCTGCGAATATCAGTTTTGATTTTCGGGGATATGTGCCTACCTGGTTGACCTGACCTGACCCTGACCTATGCTTGACTGACCCCTACATGGAGCTGACACTCTTGTAGGCCTTATATGATGTATTGTGTACCGTTTTGATAGAGTTTATGACGAGAGGCGCCCATTGCGAAGTCCTGAAGTCCACGCTACTGAAAGCCCGATTTCAGGTGCTTGGCCTGACCTTGACCCGACATGTGACCTCAAAATTCAACTTTTAAGTACTCATCTGAAGCGTCTCGTCGCGTTCTTTCGTTTGCCGCCTCGTGCGTTTCGCTGCGCCTATTGGTTCTCGAGTTATCGGCTGGGGGCGTTTAACGCCCCCCCCCCTCCCCCAGCAAACGGTGGGTGGCGAAATACCCCAGCAACTGCCGGGTTAAAGGAGCGACTGTTCCGTTCAGCTGGGTGCCAGCGGCTCTTCAGGGGCGCCATCGACCCTGGGGGTTCGGTATATTCTGGTTTCCGGAGGGGCGCCCTTCATAACTGGCGGCTCAGGTCCTAGTTGGGGGTGTCCTGGAGAACATTTGGGTGTCCAGGCACCCCCAAATAGATATTGAAGTTCGATCCCTGCCTTCACGTCACTCTTTAATTCATGTTCCCTCTGTAAAACGGCATCAGCCTAGTCGGCGCTAATTGAGGCGCCATCTGGGCGGCTGGGCGGAAAGGGGGGGGGGGGCCATGGCCCCCATGGCCCCCCTGAATACGCCACTGTTTAACAATATGCAATTTTTGTCAGCCTTATCTTTTTTGCTGGCGTTACCTTCGCTGCCACGCTGAAAGGACAAACAGTTGAGCATTTTATTGTGAATAATTTAGCCGGAAACGGGGGGGCCGGGCTTCCCCCGCGCCCGGGCTTCCCCCGGCTTCCTCTACCAAAAATGCAGTCAAAAAACTTCACGAAAAGTAAGTTCAGCTTGCCTAAAACGCAATTATTTTAGATGACCTAGGTTGACCTTGACCCTGACTTTGACATCTGTGCATCGTCGAACATCATGTTCCATGATAGGTGGGAGGTAAGGCTGGCAAAAAAGGCCGAAACTGATGTGTCAAAAGCTCACAAGGCCCATAGCCAACGCACTATATGTTGAGAATTGGTCATTTGGGTCATGATATGACCTGAAAACAGGTCATATCTCCGAAACCAAAAACCATAGAAACTTGAAATTTTCAGTGGACATCAGGAAAGGATAGAGGAGCAGGTATACGAAAAGTCAGGATTCTATCTCTAAAAATGTAGAGTGCAGAGCAGATAGACTACCTGGGGAAGGGGGCAACCTCCCCCCATGTGC